AAAAAAAAAAAAAAAAAAAAAAAAAACTATCTTTCTATTTATTTTTTTTTAAATTTTTATTTATTATGTATACAACATTCTGCATCCATGTATGCCCACACACCAGAGGAGGGCACCAGATCTCATTACAGATGGCTGTGAGTCACCACGTGGTTGCTGGGAATTGAACTCAGGACCTCTGGAAGAGCAGCCAGTCCTCTTAACCACTGAGCCATCTCTCCAGCCCCTATCTTTCTATTTAGTATGCAAATATCCCTATAATATAAGAGTGTTCTGGGCTGAAGAGATGGTACAGAAGAACATTTGCTATTCTTCCAAAGGACCAAGGTTCAATTTCCAGCACCCACAGGGCAGCTCAAAACTGTACCTCCAGTTGCAGGGGATCCAACACCCTCAAACAGAAATGTATGCTGGGGAAACACCAATGCATGTAAAGTAAAAAATAAAAGCAAGCGCGCGCACACACACACACACACAGTGTTCAGGCTTAAAGGAGTAATGTATTGTATACTCAGCAAGGAAGAATATGCTTTCAATTTCCAACGCATGCATGCACGCAAGCACATATACACATCATGGTCTCTACGATTATTGTTGCAAGAACCAAGTAAAATAAAAAAAATCTGGTCAGGCGATGGTGGCGCACGCCTTTAATCCCAGCACTCGGGAGGCAGAGGCAGGCGGATCTCTGTGAGTTGGAGACCAGCCTGGTCTACAGAGCTAGTTCCAGGACAGGCTCTAAGCCACAGAGAAACCCTGTCTCGAAAAACAAAACAACAACAACAACAAAAAAAAGAAAACCTTAAAACTTGACAACCATCTGTAATGAGGTTTGGTGCCCTCTTCTGGTCTGCAGACAGAATACTGTATACATAATAATAAAATAAATAAATATTAAAAAAAAAAAAAAACTGGCCGGCAGTGGTGTCGCACGCCTTTAATCCCAGCACTGGGGAGGCAGAGGCAGGCAGATCTCTGTGAGTTCCAGGCCAGCCTGGTCTACAAGAGCTAATGCCAGGACAAGCTCCAAAGCTACAGAGAAACCCTGTCTCAAAAAGCAAAGCAAAAAAAAAAAACAAAAAAAACAAACTGGTTAAAACTCTCTCTTTTTAAGACAGGGTTTCTCTGTGATGTACTCCTAGTCCTCCCTCCCAACCCCCCCCCCACAGGGTTTCTCTCATAGCTTTGGAGCATGTCCTGGAACTAGCTCTGTAGGCTAGGCTGGCCTCGAACTCAGAGATCCACCTGACTCTGCCTTCAGAGTGCTAGGATCAATTAAAGGCAAGCATCACCTCTGCTCAGCCTAGAACTAGCTCTTTAGATCAGGCCGAGCTCCTCCTGCCTCTGCCTCCTGAGTGCTGGGATTAAAGGTGTGTACCACCACCAAACCCCCCAGATTTCTTAGGTGTTTTGACAGAGGGCAATGGCTAAATGATAAAAGAAAAAAAAATCCACTTTTTCCCTCATGTAAGTACAAGTATAGTACTTGCTATACTTGTATAAAGTATAGACCTCTGCAACTTGTAAACGAGTCTTATGAATCTCCCTCTAGAATCACACTAAGCCCACTTACCTGCAAAGTGTACAATACAATCACATTCACATTACCAAAAATAGTCAAGGCGAGCCCGTGTATTTTCTGCAGCTAATTTGGGGTGTAAATGGATGATCAAGTGGAAGTGCGCATATCAATTCCTCACCTGTCGTTCACAATAGGCTTTCATTAGTTTACTAAGTGGTGTATGCCTCTTAATTTTAAACTGCACCACAGAGCCATCCTGCCCCGCCACCTTCAAATTAATATGGTCGTTGTTCTCGGTCTTGACTCCTTCCTGTTGAAAGAAAAATAAGGGTGTCATTTGGAAAATGTGAAACACAAACACCTTCAGAGCAGCGGCAGAAACAGCAGCAGAGGTCCGAACGCTTGAGAATCAACAGGTTTCCTCATTCTAGCCCAACAGCATACAGCTGTTCCCAGCCGCCGCGCTGAAAGACGAGACAGCCCGCAGCAAGTGTTACAAGGCTGTTACAGAAACACTGATAGTAGCGCCGGCAACAATACAATTTCCACAGTCTCCTTCGTGTCATGCTCTCCAGGCTCAATCTCTCAAACGACAGACGTCGCCAAAAGCTGTACTGCCCAGAACCCCGCTTGTCTCCTCTTTTCAAAGCACTTTGCGGACAACTACTGAAGTGCCAGGGTGGGAGGGTGTGTGTGTCTATGCGCGAGTAAACCATACCTTGCATTTCAAAACACACTGCTGCCTCCTTGTTAAAGTTAGCAAACTCAGCTCAATGTCCATATCAAATGATCATTAAAAAAAAAACCCTCAACCGAGGGATGTTTCGATTCTCCCTTTGGCACTGGCGGATGAGTGTTCGACTCTACTATTCGCTGCTTCATTTTTTAGCTCAGAGCTGACTTTCCCCTTCCCTTCCCTTCCCTGTCATGGACCGAAGGCACAGTTTTCCCGTAACCTGCGCCCCAAACCGAACTTCGGCAAAACCAAACGTAAACGTCCGAGGATCCTTTCGGCCTGAGCCCCCCACAAAGTAGAGGCGAGAGGGTGCCCCGGTGACGGCTGCGCGTCCCCTCGTCCGCAGCCAAGTCCACCCGAGCGTCAGAAGGCGCGTTTTCAACTTGAGCCCATCACGTCCCTGCTCGCACCTCAACCTCCAACTACCAGAAGCCACATGGTCCCGGCCGGGGTCCGGGCTTCGGGACGCCGGGCCAAGCGACGCTGCACCTCCCACGCGAACCCCGAGTGGATCCTACCCCGGAATCCCCCATTCGGGGTTGCCCGTGCACAGCTCATTGATTCGCGCGCGGCGCCCGCCCGCCCGAGAGGGAAACCCCGGCCCGCCGCCGTCGCCGCCCCGGGCCCCGCGAGCCCAACGCTCCCCACTCACGCCGCCCGCCGCCCAGGAGCCAGCGCGGGGCCGCTGGGCCCGCGGGCTCCCGCGATGCGCCGCCCGCCTCGCGCCGCGCGCGCTCCGAGGCCCTGGGGGCGGGGGAGGGCGGCGGGGCCTCCTCGGGCGCGGGCGGGAGGAAGAGAGCGAGGGAGGAAAATGGCGCGGAGCGCCGGGCCTGAGCCGCGGCTGGCCCCGTGGGGGGCCCAGGGCAGGAGTGGGAAGCCCGCGGCGGGCTTCGGCCGGACCCCGGGCCGCGCCACCCACCGGCCCGCACGGCGAGGCGCAGACGGCGGAGCCGAGCTCACCTTGGGTTTCTCGTCGGCCATGGCGAACGCCGGAGTCTCCTCAGCTGCCGCTTCACAAAAGAGGCACCAGGTCCGCACTGAAGGAGCACACAGGCAGCACCAGGAGCGGCAGAAGAAGGAGGCGGCAGGGGCGGACGAGGCGGAGGGCGCGCGCACGCCGTGCGCTCCCTCCCCCCGCGCTGCGTGCGCGAGCACGAGCGCCCGGAGTTTCTTATTGGTGGATGCGTCGCGGGAGCGCGCAACGCTTACATAACCACCCCGGCCGCCCCCCCACGGCCCGCGCCGCCGCCGCCTGGGCCCGGCGCCCGCTAGGCCGGCGGGAAGAGGCACGGACACGCGCACCGGCCCCGCCGCGGGGGCGCGCCTGGCTCTGGGCGGGGCCGTATTGTCCTCCTTCGGTGGTGGAGCGTAATCAAAATGGCTTCCAGCTGGTCCTCGGCGAGGACGGGCAGGCTCGTGGCCTTAGACGTGAACCTAGGCCGAGGAAGCCAGCGCCACGTGGAAGGGGGAACCTAAATCAGACCAGCCACGATGTCAGGTTCTGGGTTCTCTTGTCCAGCAGGGACAAATGCAGCCTTCCGCACACCAAACTTCTCAGCCCCTTCGTCCTTCACCCGCAACCAGCTTCCCACCCGGCAGCCCCAAATACAACCAGCTTTCCCAACTTGTTGGAAACCCTATGTTAGCTAAGGGAAAATGTCTTTGTATCCACTCAAGAAACTCCTTGCTTGTGGCCTGTCTCCCAATTCCAAGAGGGCACAGGCCCACACTGAAAACGACCCAACACATAAAGCTTGCAGGCCAATGGTTTCCTCCATCGAGCCCTACAAAATAGAAGTGGCATCCTCCCGTTAGAAGAAAATCTGACGTCTGCGCTGTGGATCCTGTCCCGCGCCTCTCTTTGGTTTTATTATTTCCTGTATTCCTGTATTTTCTTCTACTTCTACAGGACCATTGAAAAAATAAATTCTCAACTATTGCATTACCACCACCAAAATGCTCCTCGGCCAAACAGCTTGAAAAAAAAAATGCCCATGCCAGCTGTCTCCACCCCCTCACCTCCCACTCGCTCCTCAATCCACTGCAATCTGTTGCTGTCCCCACAGCGCCACTAAAACTCTCTACAAGGTCACTTTGCTGAATCCTCTCTCCTACCGAACTCCCCATGACTTTGTTGGCCTGTCCTTTGCCACACCAGAATCTTTCTCTTTGTCAAACATTCTCTTAATTGTTTCTTGGAGTTTTATTACTGGCTTTTTTCAATTATTACTCTATTTCCTCTACTGGGATGTATTAACCCCTTCCATTAACAGTACTTGGCTTTAGTTTTGTTTTTTGCTTTTTTTCTTGAGATGGGGGTTTCTCTATAGCCTTTGGCTGTCTTGGAACTCACACCTGTAGACCAGGATGGCCTCAAACTCACAAAGATCTTCCAACTTCTGCCTCTCAAGTGCTGGGATTAAAGACCTGTGCCACCACTGCCCGACAGAGTCTACAGTTTGTTGCCGCGTTGCACGCTGGGATCTACACTCTGCTCTTCACGCTCGCACAGCAAGTTTCTCTTTCCGTTTTTCATCCATTGTGGACAGTCACAGTCTCACTAAGCGAAGGGGTGAATAGAAGTGTTCACCATACACAAGAGCCAGTGACACTTGACAGACAAAGGCATGCAAAAGATGAAATCTCTGAGTCTAGCCAGGCAACGGTGGCACAGACCTTTAATTCCAGGGAGGCAAAGGTTGGCAGATCTCTGTGAGCTCAAGGCCAGCCTAGTTTACAGAGTGAGTTCTAGGACAGGCTTCAAAGCTTTCAGAGAAACCAGGTCTCGAAGGAAAAAAAAAGAAAAAAAAATCTCTGAAGCCGGGTGGTGGTGGTGCATGCCTTTAATCCCAGCACTTGGGAGGCAGAGGCAGGAGGATCTCTGTGAGTTCGAGGCCAGTTTGGTCTACAAGAGCTAGTTCCAGGACAGGAACCAAAAGCTATGGAGAAACCCTGTCTCGAAAAATCCAAAAAATAAATAAATAAAAGAAATCTCTGAGTCTTACAGCTTACAGTAAGGAGGGCAGAAGAAACGAAAGAGGAAGAGCAGCAGCTCTCAAGTGTCTGGTACTTGCTGTGGACCAGGCACCAAGTGGGCTATTTCTCTTTTTTTTTTTTTTTGTTTTCCAAGACACAGATTCTCTATGTAAAAGCCGTGGCTATCCTGGAACTTGCGCTGTAGACCAGGCTGGCCTCCAACTCCGAGATCTGCCTGCCTCTGCTTCCCAAGTGCTGGGATTAAAGATGTCCTCCACCACCACCTGGCATCTTTTCCTGAAACATTCAAGCGGAGGGAGCAAATACTTGCTACCGAGTCTTGAAAGGGTTAAATGCTTTGCACTACCACACAGTTTGCTGGGAGTGAGCATGGCTGTACCTGACAGGTACTAGGGACAGAGAAAAACGGTGTTTTCCCAGTTTGTGAGGCTCTATGGAATTTCAGACTTTTTGTTACCACAACGCGTCTCTCCATCTTGTGGAAATGCAGAGACAAATACATTGTCAAAGTCGCCCTCATTAACATGTGGGCCTTTCAGTAGCACAAAGATCTTTTAAGTACTAACATCCGGGAGACAGGACTCTCTTTATAAGATACCCACGCCCACCAAAGTTATGCTAAGTTACAGAATTACCTTCGGGCAAAGAAGGAGTTTATATAAAATGCTTTTTAAAATGTGTGAGTGGCATGGGTTCCAAAGGCACACAAGAATTCTTCAAAAAGAAAAAAAAACGGATTTAAGGAACTACTGAAACCACATACAGAGTGGCTAGAGAGATGGCTCACAAGTTAAGGGTACCCCAGCAAACTCTTCTGGCCTCTGAGGACACTGTACACACATGGTACACAATATACACGAAGGCAAAACACATAAGTAAATATTTAACACACACACACACACACACACATACACAAAGTATAGGCATGCGCATACAGAGAAATCTTGTAATCCCAGCTCCTTGGAAGGAAGGAAGCCCTAATGGTTGAGGCCTGCCTGGGCTACATATGAGTTTAAGGTACTCAGCAACTCGGGGGCAACCTATCTCAGAAAAGAAAAAGAAATGAAAAGAGTCTTAAGAAGGAACCAGGAAGCTGGGTGATGGTGGTGCATGTCTTTAAATCTAGCACTCAGGAAGCAGAGGCAGGCGGATCTCTGTGAGTTCGAGGCCAGCCTGGCCTATAAAAGCTAGTTCCAGGACAGGCTCCAAAGCTACAGAAAAAAAAAAAAAAAAGAGTACTCGGTGAGCTGGTTGTGGTGGTACATGCTGGTAGGATTTGGTTTGTTAAAAGAGGCAGAGGCAGGAGGCTGTATATTTAAAGCCAGATGGTAGAGGTGTATACCTGTAATCCCAGCACTCAGGAGAGAGAGACAGGCAGATCTCTGTGAGTGCGAGGCCAGCCTGGTCTACAGGGCGAGTTCCAGCACAGCCGGGGCTGCACAGAGAAACCCTGTCTCAAGTGCTTGGTGCTCTGGAAGAGGACTGCATTCACCCTCTCAGCCACAGGTAACTCCAGCTCCAGGGAATCCAGCAAATATTAAAGAAAAAGGAAGGGCAGTAAGTTTACAAGGAAAAGACTAGCAGCCATTAACTGAGTGATTACCAAGCAAGGAGACTGGCTGAGTTCTTAATCCTCAAGAAGCCTCTGTAATAATTATCTCCACAGAGAGGTTGCACAACTTGTCAACCACCCTGAAGTGGTACAGAGCTTAGGGAATGCAGGTCTTATGACTCACACCCCAGGCCTTGACTTCCATGGGTGGCAAATTCATTCACCATCAAGGCCACAGAGGGAAAAGAAAATAAAAAGAGAGAGAGAGAGAGATGGGGAATGTAGCTCAGTTGGTAGAGTATTTGTCTAGCACACACCAAACTCTGGGCTTGATTCTCTGAATGTATAAGCCCAAGTCATATACCTTGAATGCCAGAACGTGGGAGACAAGAACAGGCAGATCTGTGAGTTCCAGACCAGCCTGAGCTACACAGTGAGACCCTGTCCCAGAAGAAAATAAAATTTAAGGTCAGCCTTGGTCATAGCAAGCTTGAGACCAGCATGGGTTAAATGAGACCAATACCATAAGCACCAGTTATTCCCAATAGCTACTATAGTTTCCGGATCCCATGAAGGATTAATGAAAGCCGGCCATGATGATACACAGCTAAATCCAGCACTCAGAGAGCTAAGGCTTGGTTAGGAACTGCAAGGCTGTGAGCAGCTTAGGCAACACTGCGGGACCCTAAACTGGACCCAGGCACAAACACAAAGGCAGAGGTGGAGAGCCGATGACTCCCAGGTTTAGAGTACTTGTTTCTTTTGTTGTATTTGTTGTCGCTCTCTTTTTTAATCTGTGTTGGAATAATCTTTTTGTACACTGCGTGAAGATGTGTCTCAGTTTTGCCTCACCTACCTAAGGCATCTTCTGATTAGTTTAATAAAGAGCAGAACGGCCAATAGCTAGGCAGAGAGGCTAGGCAGAACTGGGCTGTATAGGAACTCTGGGAAAGAATCTGAGGTGGAAGATTTGCCAGCCAGACACAGAGGAAGTCAGACATTTGGAACCGAGGAGAGACAATGATCCACGTGTGAAAATATAGATATTAAAGAGTTAATTTAAGGTGTTTTTTTTGTTGTTGTTGTTTTTTGAGACAGGATTTCTCTGTGTAGCTTTGGTGCATATCCTAGAACTAGCCAGCGCTTGTAGACCAGGCTGGCCTCGAACTCACAGAGATCCACCTGCCTCTGCCTCTCAAGTGCTGGGATTAAAGGCGTGTGCCACTACTGCCCAGCAAATTTGTTTTTTTTTTTAAATTTATTTATTTATTATGTATACAATATTTTGTCTGTGTGTATTCCTGCAGGCCAGAAGAGGGCACCAGACCTCATTACAGATGGTTGTGAGCTACCATGTAGTTGCTGGGAATTGAACTCAGGACCTTTGGAAGAACAGGCAATGCTCTTAACCACTGAGCCATCTCTCCAGCTCCCAAATTTGGTTTTAAGAGCTAGTTGGGGACAAGCCTAAGATAAGGTCAAGCAATCATAATTAATAAAAAGTCTCCATGTCATTATTTGGCATGTGACAGTCCAAAGGAAGATTATAAATTTGTGATTTTTTTTTTTTTGGTT